TCTGAATAATATTTAGCATGATCGTGAATAAGCAATACGTAACTGAACGAAGTACAATAATTATTCGATAGTTTTGATTATTCAGTCATGCAAAATATTATTCAAATAATTATTCGATAGTCTATATAAATAATCGAATAATAATCGATAGTACAAATTATTCAGTACCACCCATCACTAGTTTAAACACGTTTAACTGGATTTTCAATGGTGATCGCTTGAGAAATCGAGCGCTTGATTCGACTTAAACTTTTTTGCGTACTAAAACAGCACAACGCCTTTGACGTCAGGAGGTATGACAATCCGCTGCAGGCGGATTGCCCTGTCAGGAATCGATATTCACTGGACGATGACTGATAACTAGACACTTAATTACCATTTCGGAGTGTATTTATTTATTTTCCATATTCAAAAGCATCGGGTGAGCTACGGGAAATGCATCCAATTGCCCAGTCAGGTATCGACATTCACTATACCGGGCGATGACTGATACCTATATACTCAATTGTCGTTTTCGGAATGTATTTATTCATTTTCCATACACAAAAGCACAGGGCGAGCTACAGGACAAGGTGTATTACACTTGTGAATTTAATGAAATGATCGAACACTAGACGATCGAATTGGACTCTTATATTATACTTTTATTATTATTTACGCGTTTATAACGACACCGCCAAAGTGTAGAACCACCAAATCAGAGGTACCAACCAACGTCTCAAACGTCGTTATCACTGGTTTCGCATACTAGAAATTTCTAACTGCGGTATTCTAAAGTCCTCTCTCCGACATAGGAAATTCACTTCAAACGATTTTCAGCTACCTAGGGTATTCACTTACAGCGAGTTTCACCGGTGCTAGTATATCAATAAACCAACAATTGTTACAAAAATTATTTTACGATATTAATTTAAAATCAAATATTCTGATAATAATCTTTTATTTAAGAACAAAAAGTAGAAATTGTAAAATAATATAAATAATAATATAATAATAATAATATTAATAAAATAATAACAACATCTATGTACATAATAATATTATAAATAACAATTATTTTAATATACATATCTACAGTTTGTTATGGCTGAAGTGGTACTACACCTAAATCAAACTTTTCATCTTCAGTGTTTGTATCGCTGTCTTCAGTTGTATCTTCTTCGTACCAGTGGCGTGCGGTGATATTTTATGTTGAGTAAGCGCTAAAATAAAATTTCAAGTTAAAACAAAAAAAGGTATTTTATTAATAAAAAATTAAAAATTACAATCTAAAATTTATTTATAAACAAAATCTATTCGTCTTTCTTGTTTTATAAATTCATTAATAACTTTATTATAAAATTCTGAATGATTTTTTTCTTTGTGCAGGAGTTCCTTTTCGATTAAAATTAATGATAATGAACTTAGTCTTTCTTGCCCTTGTGTAGATCTTTGATACGTTTTAATGCCGAAAAAGAACGTTCAACTGAAGCTATTGTACTGGGAATAGTTAAAATTAGTTGACTGAGTTTAAATACTTCTTGAAACGCCGATATTAAATCATTCATCTTAATTTTTTTGACTAAATCATTTGGATTAGTATTTAAAAATTCTTCAGATTTGTATAATACAATTAATTCATTTCGTAATCTAATAAAATCAAATATTTCTCCAAAATTTGATTCTTGCAAGTTTTCTAGAGCAGAATTTGGAAATTCGTTCGTGTAGTTTGAATATTTACTTGGGTCAATTAATGATAAAAATTCAAATTTATTCAAAAAACCAAATCTCGCTTGCAAATTTGCCAATATGTTATCAAATATTTCATTAAAAAGTACTTTGTAAAATGTTTTCGGGTCACGAATTTTACGCTGTATTTCAAAATTGCCTTTATCTGATAAAACTGTTTCCCATAATTTTTCAAATAGATTTAACCTATAATTTTGCAGTTGACATTTAGTTTCTTCAATTTTTTTCACACAGTATAAAATATCTAAACGTTTAGTTTGTAATACTTCATATAAAATATCAGTCAAACTAAATATTTTACTAAATACTATTAGCAAAAAGTATGTTTGTCGACTATCTAAAAAATTGATGAACCCTTGAGATAATACTATCGCTTTATTATCCCAATCATTAGAATTATCTAATACGTGTTGAAAAAACTCTATGAAATATGAATTGTATTCGTAAACTGTATTTAGAAAAATTCCATCTAGTCGGCGCATTTTTTGGCATTTTTTTTCTTGTAAAATTAGATAAAGCATGTGTACGTTTAGAAGATTTAGTAAAAAATGATCCCATACCAGTTAGTGTTTGAAAAAAAATCTTACAGTCTTTTATATTTGATGCTGATTGTGAAAGTACAAGATTTAATGAATGGCTAAAACAATGGACAAATAATGCTTTTCGGTAGAGCTCCTTTACTTTAACTTGTATTCCTCCAACATGACCACTCATAACGGCCGCTTCGTCATAAGTTTGAGCTACTAATTTATGTTTTAATTCATACCTATTAACTATATCAATTACGTGTTTCAATAAACCATCTGCTGATCTATCAGCACTAACATCGACAAATGAGATAAAACGTTCATGTGCTTCCCCGGTTTCATGATGAACATACCTTAAAGTTGTTGATAATTGAGACAGATTTGTTATGTCTGAAGTTTCATCTAATAATATTGCAACAAAATTAGTATTTTTTATTTCTGATTCAATGGACGTTGATATGATGTTGCTAACTGAGCAAATAAAATCATTTTGAATTCTATTGGATGTACCACGGAATATTTTTGATGTTTCTAAATGCACGTTTAAAATAGAATCATAAGATGATAATAAATTTAAACAACCTAAGAAATTTCCCTGATTGAAAGAATTAACTCTTTCATTGTGACCACGAAATGGTAATTCATGGATCGCCAAAAAACAAACACAATCAATAAAACGTTTTAAAACGTCTCTATTTTTTTTTACCAATTCATTATGGCGTATTATATCTGAACGTCTTTGTTTATCAAGCTGCAAATCAATTCTAGACATTCCAAACATTTTTAATTTTAAAACAGAAGAAAAATGTGTTTGAGATCGTTCACGTTTTTGAATACCATTTGTTAAATTATTTAAATTAACAAAACCACTATGATACCAAACATTTTTTTCCCTGGTAAATAAAACACAAGACCAACAGAAAAGTTTATTTAATTTTGCACTACCAGTCAACCATGGAGTATTTAAATAATTAGAAATATTAAAATGACGAATGTAAACTTTGTTTTTTTCTTTGTGATTAGATGTCAATTTTGGAATTTCTGGACATAGTCGACCATTTTTTACAATTGTTAATTTTTCATCAAAATTTTTTAAATGAAATTCATTTTCCAAAAGATGCTCGATTAAGCAATTATTTGAATCAGTATTCATTGTCTATAAAAACAAATATAAACAAGGCGAATATAATTTGATTCCTCTTAATTATAATAATATTATTTATTTAAATAATAATTATCTATTAAAAATTTTTGTTCAACACCAAATTAACTATGAAGACTTGTGGACACGTTGACGGTTGACGACAAAATAATATATTTATTATTAGTATAGTATAGTTAAAACTTATAATAAGTATATTGATAACAAAAATAATCCGATATGCATCGTAAGAATATTGGAATTCCGTTTTTAAAAATATCGATAAGCGCTCGGCATATCGCTTTCAACCATCACGTAAAAACGCATATATCCCCTTCTACCACAACTAGTCATTCCTATAAATGAGGGGTGGAAATCCAAAACGTACCATTGCCAAAATACTGATTTTTCAGGAGAAGCGATTTTCTGTAACTCTTTTTCTATTACCAACGTCAGTTGACTGTAGCCCAATAAATGTAAAGTATAATGAGTTCAACAGATTTTTTAAAAAAAAATATTCATTTTTTGATTATAAACTCTATTTATATGGCATTTTAAAATGTACAATAATCCAAAACGTACTATTTCCATTAATTCAATGGCAATAGTACGTTTTGGAAAATGTTATGGATATAGTTCGTTTTGGAAAAACTATTAAAATGTATTCCAAAACGTACTTTTTCCAAAATAAAATACTATTAACTTTTCCTGACGTTTCTAATGTAAGTTTTTTTTAAGTAATTTTACTATTATTCTATTTTTTTCTCTTGATCTCTTTACCATTAGGTTAGGGTATAACCTATACCTAAACTTCTAAACTTGACTAACAAGAGATAATACAAAAAATGATATTCTGTTATTTAATTTTATGGTTGTTTTAGCACTATACTATAATAAGTAGTTAAGAGGTATTTTCATTCAAACTTAAAATATTATACTCAAACAGCACGTAAGTATACTTAATTTAATATGTCATATCTCTCCAATAAATGTTGGTAGTTAATAGCACAAATGTATGTTATTAAATCACAATGAAAACTAATATTAAGTTACTCAGTAATAAATACATATTTAAATGTATTTTGGAATACGTATTTAAAAGATTTTTTGAATCTCCTGAAAAATATGGCGAATGCAGTTAAGAACAAATTATAGTGGTTTAGCTTATGACATTATAATTAATAAATTCTTAAATAATAAAATAATAAACAAAATAAAAATAGTTAAAATCTTAATTAATAAGGGTCCTCTTCATAAACTTCTTCTTCTTCATTTTCAATGATGTTGTTATTTGGGTTTTGAAAGACGTCATTATAAAACTCCTCAGCATCGGCTGGTATTTTAAAAAATTTATTTAATTTAATAACATCTTCCTTCTTGGCCAACTTTACATGGTTTTGTTTTGGCAGGATAGCAACTTGTCCAATATCCTGTAACTTTTTTTTTCTTTTTATGACACCAACTCTAGTTAAGTCACCTTCATATGATTTACTTATGCCAACTGTGTTTTTCCCTTTAAGGTATTGAAATCTTTTCTGTTCTGTTGTCTTAAATTGGTTTTGCTTTATAATATTTTTAGCGGCTGATTTGTAGTCATAAACATTAAAGTCCTTACCATATACATTCACAGTTGTGTGTTTTTTAAATATTTTATGATATTCCAATGGTGAAATAATTGTTTCAATTTTTCTTAATTCCTGTTCTATTCTACCGAACACTTGATCAGGAGGCATATAGCTGTGTCCTCTGACAGGAAAAAAGTGATTAATTTCAGAAAAAATCTTGGATTCAAAATTGATAAAATGTAGTAAAACTGCCATTATAAATTGATTTTATATATTGATATATTAAACTTTAAATCAAACTATGTATTTAATTTCCTTGTTTATTGTGTTTTAACTTTTATTTCAGATGTTTATAACAAATAGTAGTTTAAGGTTACTACAGACCTATAAGTTATTAACATATTATAAAAATTAAGTATACTTACCTACTCACATGGTACTAATTAAAATAAATTAACGTATAATATGTACTTACACTGATATTAAGTGCGGCTTCCACTAGATTATTAGATCTTTTCTTTGTATTCATATTTTATTAATTTATTGTTCAACAATTTTATAAAATATGAAGACTAGTTCACAATATCTAGTTTAAAACTATAATAATATAGTAAGCATTCAAAATAATTCAAACAAATTAGATAACTTTACTTCATAATACGAATAATAATAATATTCGTGTTCAAAAAATAAGGCAATGCGACTATAATACATTATACAATGACTGCATCGTCGTCGTCATAATGAAAATATGCGCGGGAACGACATAGTCAATAACAACAAACCATTTATAAATAGACAAGTAATTTTGAGGATAAGATATTATTTTTAAATGATGTGATAAGTAATTAATTCTTTTTAAAACGATTCAAATGTGTTCAATAATCTAGGACTATATTTTTTATTTAATTCAGGCTAAATAATTACTTTTGATTTTAATTAAAATATTTTTAAAATACATTTAAGTACGTTTTGGACTAACAATTATATTTCCCTATACCTACAACACGGGCAAAAGTACGTTTTGGCATAACATAAAAAAAAGTACGTTTTGGAATAATTTTTGGCAATAGTTCGTTTTGGTATAGTTAATGATTGGTGCCTATTCTTTTAACACGGGCAATAGTACGTTTTGGCATAAATCTGGAAAAAGTACATTTTGATTATCTAAATACTAGTTTTGTGCATGGAAAAGGTTCGTTTTGGATTAACCAGTCTTTTTTAAAAGCGAATTTGACCGGGAAAAAGTACGTTTTGGTCTATTCTGACGACGCCAATCGATTTCTCGATGTCTTTTCCATGAGAATCGATATCTAACTCGATTTTTTCAATTTTGGCAATAGTACGTTTTGGATTTCCACCCCTCAAATAACGATATAAGAAAGGCAATCTAAAATACTAGCACTTCTGTAGAGAAATTGCCTATACGAAAAAAAAAAATTTAATTTCTTTCAAAATCTGATAAATTTTTTTTAAATTGAACACAAAAATAAGAATTAATAAATATTTGTAATTTTAATGTAAACAAATTGTCATTTAACATCAGAAATATTAATCTTTTTCTTTTTTTCTTTTTGGCTGGGTATGCGCCGCTTACCTTTTTTTTTTTTTTTTTTTTTTTTTGCATGTTGAACCGACGACCGAGAGGGGACTGCTTTCGCATTACTTCCTCCCGGCCGCCATCGTTTATTAATAGAAAATAATAATAATATAATACATTGTAAGTTTACAAACTATAAGTTTTATAACATAAAGTAATTAAAAATAAGTATCGCTGTTGAGATCTTGTCTTGTCTTGGCGGGCCGATCTGATTCAGCCGCCCTTGACGTCGCGTTCTGAACGAAGCCGTGATCGTCGTCCCCCTCCCGTGGTGTCGCAGGTGGTGGATGATGAGCGTGGTCGGCGACACCTCCGACGAATCGCTGGGTGGCGAGTTTCGGGGCTTTCACCGCTCATCATCGTGGTTCCAGCTGCTCGGAATGCCGGTTAGGCATTTCTCTGGTATTCCCTCTCATCCTCTTCTTTAGTGGAGAGGATTGACTCAATCATGGCTATGAGCTCAAGCCGAGTTACCAGAGCTTGAGCGAGCAGTCTGGACCTTTGTGATGTGTCTTCAGGTAGGAGCTCTGTTCGGGGGCCACACAGAATTTCCTCCATGTCTTCCGCGACCGGTGGTCTCCGCAGAATTGCAGTAAGACGACAGCGGTCGTCCTCCCACCTCGGACAAGCGAACAGGGTGTGCTCGGCTGTATCTTCAGGGTCCATGCAGTAGAAGCAGTAGCTGTCGGCAGCCCGGTTCACTCTGTGCAGGTACCCTCCGAAACAGCCGTGCCCTGTTAAAGCCTGGGTGAGGTGGAACGTCAGGTTGAGGGGGGGCTTGGCGAGCCATCGTCCTACGTCTGGGATCAGACGATGTGTCCAGCGTCCGTTGGCGGACCGGTCCCATCGCGCTTGCCAAGCCGCAGTGGTGATTGCCCTCTCCTGGTTTTTGATTTCCGGTGCACTGATGTCTTCGTTATTTTCGTCTAATCGTAGTCGAGTCCTCGCCCTCTCGTTCGCCAGTAGATCGGCTGGGACCATTTCTGAGAGTAACGAGGATGCGCAGGCGGAAACCGTGCGATAGCTCCTAGTGATGCGGAGGGCTATTCTTCGTTGGGCCCTAGCCAGTTCGGCCCGGTTCTTCGCAGTCTTTGTAGCTCGAGCCGCCCACACTGGGGACGCATAAAGCATTTTGCTGTTGACTACTGAGGCTAGCAGCGCTCTTTTGGCCTGCGAAGGACCGCCAAGGTTAGGCATCAGTCTTCCTATGGCCAGTGCCGCCTCGGTGGCCCTCCGGGAGGCTTGTTCGATATGCCTGGTAAATTGAAGTCTGGTGTCGACTTCAACGCCCAGATACTTCAATGATCGCCCAACCGGTATGGCGTGGCCGTCGACTAGGAGTTCCGGGTTGGTGAATTTGTGTTTCGTTGTGAGAACTACTGCTTCAGATTTTTGTGGAGCGAGATGAAGACCGTTTAGTCGCATCCATGCAGACACGGTGTCGAGAACGGGATTCAGGAGGGCGGTGGCTGCCT